AAAATGTATATGTAAAATGTATATTTGCAATGATTGAATAGAAACATCATGAGCACCAAAACTCAGTTCCTATTGGTTGGGTAACTCACGCTGCTGATTCACCATCAGAGAATTATGGATTGATTCACTGTGGCTCTCTCTTCTGTTTGGTTACAGGTGGAGCAGTGATGCTGCTGGTCTATGAATATGTGTCTGGATGGCTGCAGAAGAACTGGTAACCAAAAGAAAAAAAACTAAGGGAAGGAAACCCACTTAAGTGCCTTGTGGATTGTGTGTCATTGCAAATGATGCTAACTGACTCCAGTAAAGTCAGACCAAATTAGTTTTTTTGTTTGTTTGTCCTTTTTTTTTTTACATTGAATACGCAATGCCGCTTTGCAAAATACCAAATGAGAATGGCAACATATCTGATGATGCAGATTTATAAGGACAAACTACATCTTCATCTAAGTTAGTTTCTCAGGAATTAAAAACAGCTGCAGAAATTTACAAATAGAAAACAGATTTGTAACAGTGGATCTGTAGGTTTTAAAGGCCTTGAAAACCTATTTTCTTAGTCAGCTTCTTTCTCGTAGCAATGAGGTCCTACATGAACACAATATTTTCTGCTAAATTCAGAACACTTTTCACATGAGAGATTTATGTATTTTGTGCTTTTGTCGTGGGCTGTGCTTATTAGGCTTGGGTGGTATCAAGGTGTTATACCAGGGTATTTAGAGCCCAAAAGTATAATTTTCAGTACCAAACAGATGCTGAGGTTAGGGCTGAGCAATATTTCCAAATTTTCCAGCGGCCACCATCAGCCCAACAACCGGCGATTCCCCATATATTTGTGCGCAGCGGGGCATACCCCCCTCATTGTTTCAGCAGGAGATTTGTGCGAGCGGCGAGTCTAGTAGTAATCTAACAGCACCATAACTGAAGAATTATTTCATTAATGAAAGTTGATTTAATAAAAAGAGACTAACTAATTAAATTCAACGACTCACTTTATTCAATTTAAGGATTTAGTTTTTAGGGTCATGATGTCATAAAATTTGATGACAGACATCAACGCTTCCTTTGAAAATCCCAATAGAAGCTTCAATGTTAAAAAAAAAAACACATTTGCTACAGCGCTAAGTAGGCTAATTGCATATTATCATGAAGTAGCTTATGTAGTCATAACTACTTAAGCTGGGGGTTGGCAACGTTGGAGAAACTAGCAAGAGAGACAGCTAGATTTTAAAAGTATCCGGCCGAAAAAATCCACACATTTCACGTGCAATGAAGTGCGCACAGGTATGCAGGCAGGTAGAGCAGCTGATTTCAGTCGGACCGAATGAACTCATTGGACATCAGGGCTCATTACAGTCCAGCGACGAGCACAGATACTGGATTTTATTTTCATTTTTGTGTCAGAGCATTTGATTTATTGATTGTTGTCAGGAGTGAGTGATGCACACTTGTCTATACGAACACGTACATACTGTTTGTATGTACACATCTTCACAACAATGCACATGTGATCGCAAATATATACTGTGATCACACCCATACGATTGAGCCTTACTGGAAATTTCAAACAGCCACAGTAGTGCGCAATGATTCTCGATACGAATTGTTGTGTATAAGAATGTCTTGTGTCTTTTTGCACGAGATTTATTGGCAAGAAATTGTGTTAGACTTTTTTTAATCTCAATTTAAATTAGCATTTGTAACTTACATGTATTGCTAACAAATAAAAAGGAATAAAATTAAACTCCCACTTGGTTCCTCACTCTGTGTGTGCGTGCGTGCGTGTGTGCGTTGGGTTAAGCACTTGTGTGTCCTGTAACGGTAAGTGTGTGTGTTGCATGTTTGTCTTCTCTGGGTGCATTTCGGCTTGGCATTGATATAAGAGTATCACCTTCCTTCAGTTTACAGCTTCTTCGCACTCATATTTCCCCCCCGTCAGAGCACTTGGTTGTTTGAGAACCTGTCAGCCATAGCAGTTGCATTAGCCACCCGTCAGTCTTTTCTCTCTCTGTATCTGGGGGAGTCAGTGCCTGAGTGTAGCTTTAGCGCAAGCTAAAACAACAAGCTCAAGAAATGCAAATGTGGCTGCAGGAGGGGGGGGGGGGACACCGCACACATTCTCTGCCTCTGCCAGTCTATCTCTTACACAAATATGCACATGCAAACACACACACACCTGTTGCACAGCCTTTAGTGGTACTGGCTGCTCTGTAAGAGACTCATCTTAACCTCATCTGGTAGTTGCTTATACTGAGCCACGTTGGCATTTGACAGTCATCATTAATGTGGGAGTTTCTCTCTGCCAAAATGGAACGGCTCCTGGTCTTTTGCCCAGGGGCCTGTGGTGATAGACTAACAGCTACGGCTTGCAGACTGATGGAATTGTAAGCGCTTAACCTGTCCTTTCTGTAATGGAGTCCTGAATGCGTATGTTTGTTTCAGACTTGACAGCTTGTAACATGCGCCGAGTGTATTGCTGGTAGCTAAGCAACAGAGCCACCCTTCACCTGCATTCCCAGCACACCGCGCTGATCATAAATCTTCAGTAGCAAAGTCCCCTTCTCCTCATTTTCTTTACACCCTTTCCATGTATGTTCCTCATCCTCACCCGTAACATTTCAATTCAACGGCTCCACTTGTCACAAGCCTGCAATTTGGACGTGGCTCAACCTGTCTTTCTGAAAGCAGACGCAGTTAATGATTAATACAGATTAAAATGTCCAGGATTTACACTGCATGTAAAAGAAAGAGAGAGAGAAAAAAAGCAGTGATTCATGTCCGTGTGATGGAACACGGGAGCCACATGTGTACATACCAAAGACACTGAACCAGACATGTTGTGATTTTCCAAGCATTTTCCCCCTCTTTTTAAGAGGTTTTACTCACCTGTCTGCTCCACGTTGCTGTTTTAAGGCATTAAGAAAATGTTCTGGCTGTTGTCAGCTTCTTTTAAAAATGTTTGTTGAGCAGGAACACGCATGGAGCTCCATGTGTTTGCATACTCTGCTCTGTGTTATTCTGCAAATGGCTGTCTTGTTTCTGATTGCATGTGGAGAAGTAAAGATAACCATATGACACTGAAGTCAGACTCAACATCATTAATTACAAACACGTGTCTGCCCCTATTTTTAAAACTACGCCTCTTAGACCCTCGCTTCCATAAAGCTGACCAACATTAGACTAGAGCAGGCCTTATTAGACTTTCGAGAAGCTAATTCTCCTGTCTAGAAAACACACTGTTCCTATTTTTTAAATACTGGTGTCAATTAAGACGACCACATTTTAATTTTGTTGAATGAGTCAGAGGAGACTAACAAGACTGTGCTCCGTTCATGTAGCTTAGTTGAAAGGAAAAGTTGTTTGGCCTTGTTGTTTGTAGGCTGAGATATAAAACAGAGCCTGTAACGACTTTTTCATGCCATTCAAGGAGCTAACCATCATTTACTGTACATGATGGATGGTAAAGGGGTTGGCCGTGAGGGCTGGCTGGTACAGCGAGTACATCATCATCACGTCCCTGTGATGTGGTTCACATACGGTCAAGGAAACACTACGATCCCTATGCAACGGTCCGTGACCACTGGATGCGGGGAAGAGTGCTTTCCAAGTCAAATCAGCCCCTGCATGGGGAGGACTGTTGACACTGTCACACGAAAGGATTGTTTATGGAGGAATGGAAAGCTGGGGGCATAAATAAAGCAACCACCCTCTGAACGCTCAGCAGCAGGTAATGCTATGTAAAAGAGCAGGTGAGCAACTTTATCAAGTTATTAATCGACCACTTCACGGCCACGCTGGAACCCAGTTTGTTTAAATATCTGGTTTCCAATGCAGGGCTAGACAGGGCTTGCCAGACACACTCAGAATTTATTACACTACACTTTTCCCCCCTCAAAACTTGTAGAAAGTATTTTTGCATCATTTTGCAAACATGTCATTTGTCAACTGGGCTGTGTGCTTTTCTTTTGTAATGAACATGTTGAGTTGGCCCTGACAAGCCCTGTTTGGCCCTTTTGTGGCTGCTGGAGGTTTGCGTTTGGGTCAGATGTCTGATGACCTTGTAGACCGCAGGCCAATGAGCCTATATGTGGCTCTCTGAATGCACATGGACTCCACTTCACCCCCGAAGTCTGGGAGTCCCCGGCTGCCAGATCTCAAATTTTAATGCAACAGTGATGTTCTAATTTACAGTGTCTGACAGGCAGCTAAATCCAACTGAAAATCTATGTATGATTTAAAACTTTAAAATGATTGGAAATGATAATGCATGACATCAGATCCGATTATTTACAAATGTTAGGAAGGCTCCCTTATGAGATATTTACTTAGTTAAAAAAAAATAAACAGTGACATTAGAAATATGTATATATTTTTGTAATAAATCAAATTTCATATTTTTATCACTTCATTTTCAACATACAATATGTGCTTCAGATGCTAAATTTATTTGAGAAAATTGTACAAAATATTTTATTTACTACTATATTTGTACAACTACTTCTAGTGTGTGTGTGTCTGTGTATATATACACAGGCACACACACTATAAATAAATAAATAAATATATATATATATATATATTTCTTTAAACCATGTATTCCTGTTATTTAGCTTATATTCAGACATAAATGTTTATGAATATAGAAAAGGGCCATGTTAAGTGTAATGAGGTGAGATTATTTTAATGACCAGAAGGTTAAAAAAAATTGCTTTATGCGATGACTAATACTGTGTGCTCAAAGCATTGCTGATGAACTTTCCTAGTGAGCCTTGACACTTGGTAATAGAAAATACAGGCCTTGTATGAGCACGTCCGCGTTTTTTTTTTATGGAAAACAGTTTCCTGCTCATGTAAAACAGGCCAGTAGGCTACAATACCCTGACCTTTGCGTAGGTACACTAACAGAAAGAGAGGTGAGATACTTATTTTTAGCTGCGATGGTGTATATGACCCTGAGAATAAAAAGGATTCCCCAAACAACCGGCAAACTCCATGAAGACCAATAACAGCCAAACAATTTAATAAGATACATTCAATTTCATTGTGCAACATTTGTCAATTGTTAATGCTCTACACTCCAACATAAGACCAATGCCAATTTTGTCTGAACGTGCGTGGAGATTCCCATGCTGTCTGTGAGGCTCATTGCACTTCATTCAGCGTACCTTAATCTAATAAATAAACTTCTCTCTGGAGCTCTTGCATAGGCTACATTTTTTGAGAAGTGGGAAAGCAATGCTCCATAAGACAGTTAACTTTTATCAAAACATAAACAACAACACAAAAAAGCATACAAACATATAAAAACAATAGCAATTAATAAGCACCCTGAAACACTAATGCAAATTTACCCCCTCTTCTTTGATTGCTTATTCATGAAGTTATACATTACCCCATTTTGCCCAAAGACATTTGCAGAAGTGTGCAGTAAAGAATCTGAGAGGAGTTGTGTTGATGGATGGAGTAGCAGCCATACATCAGTCCTTCAGTACACCTGTCCTGCAAGTTCTTTCAGATAACAAGTTTGTAGTAAAAATTGACAGACTGTTTATTCCTCGTGTAGCATGGAGGAGGAGGAGACGGGGTCACATATAGAATGGCACAAATATGGGTCCTGGGGCCGAGTCCGGAAATGAAATGAAACCATAGGGGACAGACTTTGTGTCTCCTGTCCTGATGTCTCACTCCCTCCCCCTCCTTTCTCCCATCAGTCTTTGCGAGCTGACTTCACAGCACCGAGGCAGCGACTGGGTGGATGGTGTCACGGTTGGCTGTCATACTCTTGAAGGCTAGAGGGGTGGCAATGTCACAGCTGTGGTGAGATAGAGCACTGCCACTGGCCGGCTGCCATGTGGGTCCGGTCACATAGGCCGAGGTGGTGGCGCTGTACCCCATGTAAGGTGACACTTGGGTGGGAGGGTGGTAGGGAGGGATGCTGGGTGCTGTGACATAGCTGTTCACTGTGGGCAATCCATTCGGCGTCTGGGAACAAAAGAGAGTAAAAAAAGAGAATATTAGCTGTGTTAGGGGTCAGAAAGGTTACTGAAAGCTTCCTGCTTTGTGTAGAAATCATGGTTAGTGATTTATCTTTTTCCTGAAGAATTGAAAAAAGGGAAATTATTTTCCAGAGAAACATGCTTTAATTCTAGTCACAAGAGAGAGGATTGAAAAGCAAGACTTCCATTTTTAGCTACACTATGTGGTGACGTGACCGCAGCCCAGGTAGTCGTACGCAAGCAACCGAGAACAAAAGCTGAGGCAAGCTGTAAAAGAAAGTGAAAGGAAAAGCAATGTTGGTTGAATTACAAACAGCAGAAACTTAAATTATAACTTCACAGCCACCACATAAAAAATCCATTTTCCCAATTTTGATGAAAGTATGAACGATCAATTATGCGCTCTCATGCCCCTGGAACATATTAAACATGTATTCAAACCATACATGCATGATTGCCCCTCGGTCTATGGGGCTTGTTTTCTACCCTGGAGTGGACGTTTCTCCGGGCGGCGTTGATATACCACGTTAGACGATGGGAGACAGGGCGGTTGGGGGTGCCACAAAACAGATGTCATGAGAGATTGAGAGTGAAAAGGCAGGAAGAGGAGAAATATGATAGAGAATGAGGCGAGCGCAGGGTTTGAAGCATGAATGAGCTTTTCTTTTCTGGCACAGCGACAGGACTTAACTTGAGGAATTCACCAAAGCATTTCAGCAGGGAGGCCGAATTTCTGTTCCTGGGTGGTCTGCGACTACTGAGAATTATTTCTAAAATCGGGATCTTCTCTGTTTGTTTGACATGTTTTCATTGAGTTGCCTGACTGGCAGAGTCACTGATTATTTCTTTAAAACAGATATGAAAAATTATACTCTAACCTGACATTTGTGGTGATTATAAGACATAACTATAGAGAGAAAACTGGTTTTCTCTGTGTGTGCGTGTGCCTGTGGGTGTCTGTGTTGGGTGACTGTGGGTGTCTGGGTGGGTGTTTGTGGGTGTTTTTGTGTCTTTACTTTGCTCAAGGATACTGAAGCTTATTTCACAAAAAGCCAAACATGGCTTTGAGCTGTGTTTTTAAAATAATGTTTTTTTTCCCCTTTAAATCAGTTAGTCTCATTAAACATTTTTCCAAACATTATCACATTACACTAATGAAATATCACCATATGGAACACACACACAACTACAGTACATACACGCATACAATGCGTAGCCTACATAGTATATACTTTACACAAATGTATATTCACGTACAGTATGTGTACATATACACATACAGTATATATACAAAGTAACAGGAAACTCCTTTCAGTATAATGCAATCTATAAGAACACCACCAGGTACAGCCTCAGAAGTGAACACAGACATGCCTGACACAAAGTCAACAACATTTAAAAGGTTTGCAAAGGGTGTAATAAGGGCTGTGTTCTTATATCAGATTGCATCATTTGTTTAGGTGTACCTGTTATTTTATCCATCCCTCTTCCACCACCCATTATCTAAGTGAACATACTTATATATCATTAAAACTATACCACAGTTTGTATAGGTATATCTTAGAACTGAAAGATGCATATTATTTATTTATGTGTCTCTAAAAGTATATTAGCATACAGAACAAAATACAAAACTTGCATTTAAAATGTCCGTATCCTATATTAATTAATCTTCAATTTTTGTTAATCTGAATATTAATATAATAATAATACCTGCGTTTGTGTTTTGATGCCATGTTGAATTAGTATTGTTAAACGAAAGTAAATCCAGAACTGATTAATGAATAATACAGACATTGACGCCATTCATCCAAATAATTACAACTCAAGCAGATTCACTTTGTCACGCTCTGATCTCGTTGTTTGTATTTCAAATAAATCATTAAAACATTTGAATATTTAAAAGCAGGTTGATCTATCGCGAATTAAATATGTTTTAAACATTATATAGAACCATTCGTCGTTATGAAAAGTAGGCTACGTTTTACTGAACGTCTCAATCGTTTTCCAAACACGAAGGGAATCTGCTCCGAGCCGCCGCGCGCACTGAGCTCGCGACTTAACCTTAAATCTATTTTAATGATGCTCCTCTTCTTCCAGAGAAAAACCTGAGGGTGCCAATGGGTGCATCTGCCCTCCAAACAGCGCCTATTGGCCACATGTTATAAACCGCAGCCTCTGGCTTTCTACAGAAACGACTCGACAAAAATAAAAAGACCTTTTAGATGTGTTCAGGTTCCCCCTTTTGAAATAACTTCAACCTTAAAGAAACTCTAAAAGAATAGGCCTAAAGCTGTAATATAAATATGAAAAACGTGACGTGAAGAAAACAAATTGTAATTTGAAGACTTCGGGGCCGTTCAGTCCCTGTTTCAACACGGTCTTTGCATGACATCTCTCTCTTTTACTGTCTCTCTCTCTCAAACACAAATGCAGATCTATTTAACGTTAGATCTCAGCTGTGTAAAGTCTGAATGACAAAGGCGCGGTTAATCCTCCAGCCCTTTGCTGGAACAGTGCTTGCTTCACCATTCTTTGTTTTTCATGCAATAAACTGTGTAATTTATAGAGTTGTTATTTTCTCCATTTAATGGCTCACTTCTGTTTTTGTCTTGCTGGTTGGCTAACCGCTCAGAAAGTTACTGTGTCCACTTTGTGCTGTAACTTTTGAACGCTCATAATCTCACAGCATCGGCCCTGTTTTCTGCGTAATGAGCGTGAAAAATTCCCCTGTGATAAAGTGACAAAATAAATGATGCGGCATGAAATTGTGTTTTTTATGTTGTTGTATTTGTTTTGTTTTTGTGAGGAGAATCACACGCCACGTCAAAATAAGAGAAAATAAGCACGCATGCGCGCGTGCACATTGTGTCATCATAGCCCTCCATTTGTTAACTGCTCTCGAAAACCAAATATTTAGACGTTTACATAAAGTACAAAAATGTATTTTAGTAAGAAAAGTAGTGACAAAGTATAAAAATCTGCATTGATTTAGTGACTTTCATACAATGTATAGGAATTAGGGGCAGGGCGAGTTTTCACCCTTTTAAATCTAGAAAACTTTAAAAATAGAAGCAATGTGTGCAATGTGTGAAATTCGCCGTCGATGAATGTATTTTTCTCGACCCTGCTTTATTTTGGATGTAGCTGTTTCACGTCTTCAACAATTCAGTACACAATAGTAATAATAATAAATAATTTTAAGACAATCAGCTACTGTATTTTTTTCGTAATATACCTGAATAAGGCAAATTATGCCGTGGTCAATGTTCCTTCAATGCAGTTCAATTTCTTGCCTCAATCCCTGCATGGACTATAGCACTGAAACCAATCCTGTAGGCCTGTGCTAGAATAATTTACCAGGAAACCGAAAACAGACATTAGTTTGACTGTTTTTTATGGGTCCAACCAGTTTCTGAGTGTTAAGCACGCTACAATTAATTTCAAAAACCCAACATACCAAGCTGGAAAACAAGAATAAAGAGAGTATCTATCCTGCCCAAAACTCTTTAACCTACTAATTATTAAATACTTTACTCTCAAATGATTCATAAAAGCACTAACCATGCAGCAGGACCTAAAGGAAGTCCACCTTGTAAAGCCAAAGATAAAAATAATAAGATATTATAAAAAAGGCACCATTACCAGCTAGCCAACAGAAGGAGCGCATTAATGCTGAGAAAGAGAAATTCCCAAGCCACATAATTATTAAAATATTATTAAATACCCACTTCAGTTACATTAAAGAGGCCAGAAACTTGGATAGACTCTTTTTACTTTTGTTGCATTTTAGGTTACATAAAAATTAGGTGACTCTTTTTTTTCTTTTTTTTACCTGTGTGTATTTTGCTTCAGGTTCTAAATGCGGTTTATCCACGCCACTGACTAGTGGAGAGCTTGCTGGTGGGAAATTAGTCCTGTTAATAGCGCTCCATTCTTCTAGTTTGGCGCTGGAAAACGATGGACTGTCACTAACTGGGGGGGGGCAAAAGAGAGAAGAGAAGAGAGGAAAGTCAGAGAGATTTTCGATTAGGAAAAGACCCGCACAGGCCGCTGCTTCTTCTGCACCCATCAGGCCCAGGTTGGCCATGCACAAGACAATAAACCCTGTGACATTTTACACTAAAAGCACGGTTATTTATCATTTTACGCACAGATTGCTAAAATATCAATCGTGTGCGTAAAGTTGTTATAAAACGTTTCTACTCTGGATCAGTTTCACAAAAATATCAGTTTCAGTATGTTGCCTAATACAATTGTAATTCTCTGAAAAGTGAGACTTCTTAAAAAGTTTTAGCTATTTTCTTGTTTTAGTAATTTGCTTCAACCATTAATCCATAAACGTGATCAGGCCACAACTTTTTCCTGTGAAGGTATTCAGTAATAACATTGAGACAAAAGTGAAACGATCTCTCATATTTCTTCACGTAAAGTAGAAAGTGTTGGCTCCTCCTGAACATCAGATTGAGGCCCAGCTGAAGATGGGCACAACGAGGGAGACGACTCTCTGGTTGGTCAGAGACGTTTTAGCCCACTAAAACGTCTTCCTGTCGGGTCCAAATTAGATTTACTTTCACCGTCTCCCTCCTTTTGTGAGTGATGGATATTATATTATACACATTTCCCAGCGTTTACACTGGAAGAGGAAGCCCACCTAAGTTATAACTCGATAAAGAGCTTTTTTCTAATGTGACTGAATTCACCCATGCCATCTGTAGCCTACATTTAAGTCGGTGTGGGTGCCCTCATGCACGTGAAATTAAATATTACCTTAAGTAAAATCACTGATATTTTATGATATTAAGCCTGCGAATTGTCTTAATTTGAGCTATTAGCTGCCATTTTCCATATATTTCAAATATACTTTTTTAATAATCTGACTGGTGAAATAACTGGTGCAAATGAGCTCTCACCTCTCTAAATGTATTGTAAAACTTAGCATTCAAAAACCTGCCACAGACATCTGCTAATAATTTGGAAATGCATAAATTGTTTATAAAGGCAACCTTTCAAAACACAATCCTCTGCCTGTGGATTCTTGTGGATATCTTCCTCACATTTGTCTTGTTTAGCTTGCCCTAGTCAGTCTTTTGCATGGCGGTGGAAGTGGAGAGGAGCCGGCGCGTTTTTCTGCATGGTAGCCCTGAATCCTGACAGAGAGGACTACTTGCAAGTGGACTGACAGCACTTCCCCTCCTGCCACTGGAAAACAAGCTCTCAGAAAATCCCTTTCACAACACCGAGCCGACCATTAACACTGATTTATGCCGGATCCTGTTTCACTGTTTCCAAAACAGTTGTGGTCTTGTTGAGTGCAAGCCAAAGTTATCTGGGCCTACCTGCATGTGACACATATAAACATACAAACATGCAGTAGAAAGCATATCTTTATGTGTGCTCTTTATATCCGAATCACGGTTAAACCCGCTGAATACGCAGCCTTGCACACAATGTCTGGCTCCAAGCCATGGCAAATATTCAGAACACCTCATTTTGATGCACTTCATCTCACCGCCTTTCCCTCCGCTGTCCCTCTAATATTCCACATCCGCCTCTTAATTATTACTGCAAGCCGGACCATCTGTTTCTGGACTAACCTGCCTTCCTTTTAAATCAGTATCAGCAGGCAGGTCAAATGGCATTTAAGCTCTCTCTCCATAGAGGCCTGTGATTTTATAATGTCCCAATGGTTACTTTTGGATGCCTATAAACAATTAGGGTAACTCAAAGGGGAAAATAAATCTACTTTCTCTCTCAAACACACACACACATTCGAACTCTTGCGCGCAAAACCCCTTCAAAAGTTGTTTAAATGTAGTGCAATAAACAAATGCAACCGCCCTCCATGCAGCCATGCTTACTTTGTTGCTCTGTAATTGACCGTATCCCCAGAATATCTGTTACAGAGTGCGAGGAAGGCCATATCCTGTGCATGGCCATGTGTCCGGGAAGGGTGGGCATGCCAGGGGGAGTGGGCACTTTGGATGTCGGGTATGAGTATAAGTGGTTGTAGGGTAACGTTGGTTGTGGTGGTGGGTGAGGCGCCTGCTTGCCCGACTCATACTGACTCTGCTGGGACAGATTCCCGATCTTGTTGCGGAGGATCCGACTGATGGAGCTGACGGAGGGCAGATTGAACTTGTCGCAAACCCCGTCGGCGAGTAGCCTGTCCCGGATCTCCCAGGCAAAAATCCCCGGGTCTCTCTGCTTGTATGTCCGTATGTGCTTGACCACAGTGGGTGTGGTGACCCGCGGCTTGCTGCCTCCGATGGCCCCCGGGAGGATGGAGCCGGTCTCGTTGTAGCGGGCCAGGATCTTGCTGACGCAGCCGTGGGAGACGCGCAGCTGCCTGCTGATGTCACAGGGTCGGATCCCGAGCTGGGCCAGCTCCACTATCCTGAGCCGGATGGCGTTGGGGAGCGGCCTGCCGTTCACGAAAACACCACCGAGTTGGTTCACCTCACCGAAGGCTGGCTCTGGTGTTAAAAACAGACACAGAAAGGAAGAACAATGAGACAGCGATTAGATAACCAACCCAAGGCCCGCCACAGACAGCTTTAACCCGGGTTAAACCACATATTTATAGGGCCTTTTTTTCTCACCAAACACATAATTGTATGCAATCAAATATAGCAAGTGTTAAACTTTAATCTACTTATTCAATTCATTTATATAAGCATTGTGTAACAAAAACTCTGTCTCTTATTAGTTGATTTAATAAAAACATAATTACGCAAAGACGCATCTTTTCAAGATTTAACCAAAAAAGCGTTCTCTAAAATACCAATTCATCACTTTAAGTTAGGTATAATGTTTGGGTAAAAAGTACCAACCAAGCTGACTGAAAGCTGTCCTGCACGCAGGCTAAACTTCACACCAATGTACAGTGGCCAGTGCCAAAACTCGTGCGTAACTGACACATGTAATAATTCAGTCTGCTGGTTTCGTCCCACCGGATTAACAGCTAGACTGACCCGCCAAAACATCACAGTCCGACAATATATGCTCTTTTCACCTTGTCGTTGGACCGTTCGCTGCATACCTGACGAGAAAAGAAAACCCCGATCCAACATTGAACTCACCCATCGTGTTAAAGCCGCAAATGAAGTATACGGTGTCCGGTTCGTGCCTCCTGCGTGGATCCTGCTCCGCGTCCAGCGTGTCCACCGTTCAAAATCGCGTCCAAGAAAATCTTCTTGCGCGGTAAGGAACAAGAGGAACAAAATTCTCGATCTGTTTCCTGACGGCGCTGGAGACAGGCTTACATTTCAATCTGTTGAAATCTGGAGGCTGGACTTCCAACGCTTCTCCCCCGCTGATTGGCTCGCCTCTCCAATAGACTTTAGATATTGCTCAGAGCTGCGTTGCTATTGGCCCAAAGTTTGACATGACAAGTCCACTGAGACCCCCCCCCCCCCCCCCCCCCCCCCCCCCGTCCTCCTCCTCGTCCTGCTCTCTCCCACCAGAAAGCAAAGCTGGGGATATACCACTATGAATGCGTTTGTTATTGACACAGATACGGTGAGTATAACGCTATATGAAGACTTTGGATCAGATCTTCGTCTTTTCAACAATGGTGGGGTGCTAAATAAAAAGATGTGTAAAAATGCCGTGGGGTGACCATCACATGGAACCATTACCTGAAAAATAATGAATATTTTCATAAAAACGCACAAACTTCTGCAATTAAAAATCCGTGGAACGTATAGCATTGATTTAATATTTTAGTTTTGTTTTTATAACAAAAGGTAAACATTTCGAAGAAAAAAAATCAAGCTCCTTTATGAAAACAAAAAGGTGGAAAACCTGAGTTTGGGTGGCTGTAAGCTCCGCTACACCAGCCTTCAGCTTTACCATTTAAATTGCACCATTAAGGAAATGGGAGGAAATGAATGATTGGTTTTGAGTAATGTGATTGGCAGCTTGATGTTTTCTAAATTGTATCTCACTACGCCTTTAGGATTATCACACCTTTTCTCATTTGTGGCCTATGTTTTTACTGTCCTTTACGCATCAAACAGTGACTGCTACACTTTGTAAAACACGCCAAAAAGAAATCCTTCACGGGGATGATGCTTTGCTGAAAAGAAAGCGATCAAAAGACGAACGTGTTTAACCTTTGGAAAGAATCTGTCTGGTCACGCAGTTTGAAGATAAATGGCAGATCTGTCTGTCGTGCCCATTTTAAATGAACTATTATGTGATTTATTTAGCCGTGTGTATAACGAACATTACACTTAAAGTGTTGTTTTAACTCAATAATTTTCATTTCTCAAACTGTAAGTCTATTTGATTTGCATTAAGGCTTTGCCACGAACAGGCCAAATGTTGCTTTTTTTTTCATTACGCACAGCGAGCTTTGACGCATTCTGAGCTCTTATACGATAAAGAAATTACATTTTATGTCTTAACTTTTACATAATTAGCCTTAAGACTGACAGCTTGCAGGCCAATATCTTATAAAGGGATTATTTCTTACTTTACTGCCTCTGCATACATGCACTCGCTGCACAGAAACACTGCTTGCAAGCAATAAGAAAGATTTGTTGCTTCCCGACACGAGAAACAAACACACGCCATAACTTTGCGCCTTCACTCTCCCCATTTTGACACATGCTCTGGCTTTTCTCGTGTCATATTTTAAAAAGGCCACGGCGCATGACTGACCTTCATCTCTGTGCAACCTGAGGGGATCAACGCGCATGTAAACATCAAACGCCTGTACAGCCTTGCAATTAGGAATATTGTTGAAAACCTCTGCTGAGGCCAAATGTACACAAAGAATTCTTCAGTATTTGTTTCAGCACGTAACTACAGCTCTCTAGGCTGGAGAGTAAACGTACTATACCTGCTTCTTTTGTTTAGTTTCCCCACCTTTCGGGATTGCATAAATCTCTGAAATTACAGAGATTACACCGCGCACCTTGACACTAACACAAACCAGGTTTTATAAGGAGGCGTACTGTAACGCTTTTCGAGGGTATTTTTGATTGCATGAAGGGTTATTTGCCTCAAGACTGGACGTCTTAGTTTACTCATTTAAAAATAAATAAAAGTACTACCGATTGTGCCTCACTTGCCCACCCTGCTCAGCTCCCCGGCCACTAATGCGTCAAGGATAATGTTTACCATGGGGAAACGTGCTCGACTTGTTTCCACTGAGGTTCCTCCGCTGGCTGAAATAACAAAAGGTCAGTGGCGAGGGATCAAAGGTCTCCGCAAACTGCTCCATCTTCAGCAACGGACACCTTCCTCCTATCCCCCCCGTGATATAATAGATGTCCACATGAGGACGCATGGCGCTTCATCCGCATCACCTGTTTTTATACCTGTGTATCTGATTAATGACATCACACAACAACTGGAAATTATTAACATTAAATTGCAGGTTGAAATAAATAATTGCACGGTCTTGAAATCATTATTTACAATGCCACGCAGTCAGACAAATTATGTGATTATTACACTAAATCAGATACAATTATTATTTATTTTATTAATGTTATTATTATGAATTAAAATTGAAAGCGCATATAGCCCTGGTTGTTAATAATGATTTCCAGACTACATGGCTGTTACATGCCTGTACAGTTCACAAGCCCAAAGTCGTCCATGTCGAATTGAATTGTTCATACAGCCCGTGAAGGCAACGCATCACTTGTCAGACAAATTGTGTAAGGATAGACTCAAAGCTCCGACTGTAGCTGTCTGCGGGAGGCAGGAAGACTTATTCCCCCATCCCACACGGTTTCTCTGGATGTGGCAGCAGGCTTCTGTACATATTCTGCACACTTGCTGTTCAAGCTTTAAGATGAAGGCACATATATGCAGATTTTACATGCAAACCAAAAAATTAGTAATTAAACTAAATTATATTTTTGTCTTCAAAAGTGGGGTTTTGATGTAATTGTTGTGTAATGGATTTTCTTGATATGCAGTAGGCACATCGCTGAGTGTGTTGTGCAAACAACCATGCATGCTGTGTCCAACGCTTTTACGGTTTATGTGCAAAAATGTGCAACGCAGCGTTTAGGCAACTTCACACAGTCTCACTGAGCCCCATAATCTATAAATCAATGCTTAAAATACATTTTGTAAATGATATCATAATCTGGGTTTATTTCACTTCTTCCAGTGCAGCCTCTGTGGACCCCATCCCCTCCCTCCAAAACAGGGCCTTTCAATAAAGGATATTTTCTTTCTTCAAAAAGTCGTATTACATTTTAGAAATGTTCTTTAAACAATTTAACCTCTAATTGCAACAATATTTAATCTAATTGTATGCAAATAAACAGAGATGGGAGAAATGCACGAACGAAGCAAATGATTTGTTTTAGGATAACTTGTATTTAATGTACTCTTATGACATTTTTATGTTATTCTTATTTTGTACTACACCCTACGGTTTTTTGTTTTTTTTTTAACTTAACTGGGCTCTTAAGAACCCAACGTTTTATTCTTTATTTATATTTACATTGGACCATACATCTATGCGTGCAGGGTGGGGGCTAGATGTTAATTATTGTTGTGATTGGATGTTGTGATGTCATGAGCACACTGAGGCACATTCCTAACAACTAAGTTGAATGGCAATAATGTATTGCATCTTGAATCATCAATATTTTAAATATTCATTAATCTGTCTATTGTAAGGTATTAATTGTGTCATTTGTCTCTTTTGTTTACAGATGTGTTCTGTTAAGCTTTAGTGGAATCAGCTCTCCTCCCAGTTGGAACGTGAAGTGACTTTATTCTGTATGGCTGACCTTGTATCTGTTTATATCACAGCTTTCTTTCATGTCAGAATGTTTGCTTTGGTCATAACTGATTTCAGGAGGATAGAGAAGATCGTCATTGACTCAAGATGATGGAAGAAGCATGTAGGCCAAAAATAATCTTGTGCAGCTTCTTTCTGTCCTTTTTAGTTTTTCTGCCATTAAGGTCCCAAATGAGAAAGACTTTGAGGAGATGGTCACCAACAGGATGAAGTGCAGAGAAACGGAAAATAATTTATTAATATCTCAGCCTTTATCAGGTAAATATGTCAGCTGTTCATCATTAACATGAAAATATCGAGTAAAGACATCTTCATAACTGTAATGATCACCATCTGCATGCCATGGTTCACCCACTTCCTTCCCTGGAATCACACAACCTTCATCCACTCTCACGTATTATTATCGAACATTAAGAATCATGTTCAGGCGTTTTAACAGAAAAATGTGAACTTGCCATAAGGTTAAATATCCACAATTATAAATCATACAGCGGCTCCAGTCTTGTATTCCGTTCTTGCCCCGCAAATATTTGCACAGAAGAGAGAAACTCAGTTTATCTCAAACTCAGTTGGCACGGTAGTGCCAACTGAGTTTGTTTACATCTACACACTGTACTTGCAAAACAGCAATAAACTGTGATGACAGCCGCTCCCACCTCAACTATCTCCTTCATGTGTGAGCAAAGTCACTTAACCACCTTTTTGGTTTTAATTTCCACATGTTCAACAAGTGAAGACTTGAGGGACTCTTTATTTATTTATTTATTTTTGCTCAATGGTTGCCACCACAGTGAAGAGAAATGCTGTGAAAAATACCTGTCCTGAATGTCTTGGACTGGGACTTTCCCACATCATTTGAAACAGGCAAAAGAGTGCGATTTAGTCTGATCGAAAACGTATGAAGGGCAGTTGATGCCTAAACGGTTTTGTCATCACAGCGGATTCACATTTCTCCTCAGTGGAGATCAGTATGATCCTGTAAATAAAAAGTGGCAAATGACCATAGAACAATCTAAAATCAAACGTAAATCAATTGTATGAATCGTCTGCAACATCGTCTATTTGCATATTTTACCTCACCAAATGAATCTCAAACAAAATGTCTCGTAATCAGCCTGTGTTCTTCGTCTAACAGTGAGACTTTAGCTAATTTATAAATAATCAGTAACCGAATTAATACAAAACTGCAACGAACCCAATACGATTTAAACGAGATCTTTTGAAACCAAAATAATTTTACGCTTAAAGGATCGAATGAGAACTTTAAACTCTGGAAATATTTTTGGATTTATCGTCATGTTTTGCATTTATATTCAGCACCTGTCAAATCAGTTTATTCTCTGTAAAGATCGTTGATGATGATGATGATGATGAGAGGAAGTGGGTTCTGCTTCCTCCATCAACCAAACAGTAAATACGTCTGTGTTGAGATTAATTAGAAGCAGGTCACAAATATTATTCCTTCATTAGTG